CTACTAGTAACAAGAAGCTACTAGGAGCAAAGGGCATCGCTACTAGGGGCAAGGACGCTACTAGGGGCTCGTAACCACAAGACAAGACCCGAAGTAACATAGATTGGATGAAATCGGAGCCAAGCTGTGGCGGATCCAAAGCATTTTTGAACAAAACGATCAACTTCACACTGTCTTACGCTCCCATCCAAAACTCCGGATGTCAATCCACTAACTCCTCAGAGTGAATCAACATCTTAAAGAACCTACGTTCGTAGCGTCCGTGTTACTAGTAGTAAGGCCAGCAGCGCCCCGTTCGTAGCGTTCGATCGCTCCGTTCGTAGCGATGCCTGTTGCTACTAGTAGCTTCTTGTTACTAGCCTTTAATTAGACTTAATTCACTTATAGAGTCTATCAGTCTATAGCCTTATGTGTTGCATGGGTGTTTTCAAGGTCTCGGGCCGTCTTCGTCCCCTGCAGCTTTCTTCGTTTTTCCTGCTTCGTCCTGCACTGCCTTCAAGCTTTCGGAGAGCTGATCCATTTGGGCTCGAATTGCCACCTGGCGTCCGAACGCCAAAGGGCAGGCCGAGCGCTTATGACGAACTGTGAGTTATGGGGGTGAGCTACAGGAGCGATGGCCTCCAACCTAATAGTGATACCTTTGTGGTATTTTTCTCATTTCAATCTGGGAAGTTCTTTTCGAAGAACTTGGGCTTGCGGCTTGCTCTTGGTCTCTCTCCACCGTGACGAGGTGCGTCTTAAGCTTAAGGGTCCTCTGAATGACCGGGCAAACGATCATCTGAGTGTCGAAATCTCTCATGATTCTAGGATATCCTCACATACCTATCAACATGTGAATCAAGCTCATGATTTCTACACTAACAAAGAGACGCATCTGATATCTAAACCAGGGAGATGCACCCACGCTCCACGCCGCCTGCTCCACGCCCCGGCACCCGCCTGTGACTTCTCGCGGGATGTATCGATCATGTGCCAAATCTTCGAGCGCTGCTCCTGGAGACACGATGCGAACGGTGCCCGCCATAGCTACTACTAGCTACTAGCGATGGCCTCCAACCCAATGGCAATGTCCTTGCTACTAGTAATGCCAGGAGCTACTAGTAGCGTTCTTGCCCAATAGCAAACTATACTAGACCCTTTCTTCCTTGTCTTTTTTGGTTTCTAATGGCGATGCCCTTGTTACTAGTAGCTTCTTGTTACTGGCAGTAATGCACCTTGTTACAGACTCCAGACTCCAAACTCTCGCGTCTCAGTTTGGATCGCTTCTTGCAATCCTCACATCCATTTTGGCTCTCGTCTGTCTGGGGTGCGAACTCAAGCAGCAAATTTCACCAAGTAGTTTGGTCAGCGGGTCTGTATGTCCAAGCTGGAAAATGAATGAGACTGACCTTTGCAACTCGGCTGTTCTCAGGCGCTTCTCACATCAAACGTGCGTGAGCAGGAAATGACGACCTCCACGTGACCTCAACGATTTTCGGAGTTTGGCCACGCACGAATGATGAATCGCCCTCATTCACAGCTTGTGCCAAGGTCACAGGCTTTTTGGGGCTGATGGAGGTGCAGTCAACATGCCAAGCTTGCTTCATGATGCTTGTCGTTGCTTGGATTGGTTACTGCGAGGATATTTGCGTGCTTCTATCTTCCTACAAACCCACGAACTCCATCACCTGGTTAAAGCCATACGCAGAAGTGAAAATCCGCAAACCACCTGCAGCATCGCAGGCGAATCGCAGGTGCCGATCGTTGTCAGGCCCAGGCTGAATGACATCGCCTCCCTCCTGCCCTTCAAAAAAAACATCTGGGCAAATCAACAGGTGAGAATGGTGAAAAGAAAATCAAAAAACTCAAGTAGGAGCATTCTTACTACTAGGAACAAGAAGCTACTAGGGGCTCCTGGCATCGCTACTAGGAGCACTGAGCACGGACGCTATCTCAGAACTAACTCGCTGAATCGTCTCGTTGGAGGGAGCTCGTCTAGTCACTCAGCCTTACTTGGATCAGTTACTTCCGCGGAATCCTCCGCGGAGTCCACCACGGAACCTCAGAGATACATCAAGAGTGGGAGGCAATGCTGCAAGTGTGAGCTAAGTCCATTAGCTTTCTTACTACTAGTGATGGCCTCCAACCTACTAGCGATGGCCTCCAGCTTCTATGAGCTAAGTCCATTAGCAGCATCACATCGATCGCATCATATATATGGCCCATTAGATCACCAACATGGCACAAGATCTGCGACAGGATCTGCGTGGATCCCAGATCCGTTGCTCTCTGCGGTGGGAGTCCATCCTAATAGCGAAGGGCTCCAACCTACTCGCAACTGAGGCTCCAAGCATGGATCCCGAGCGTGGGAAGGTGGGCGCCCCAGCACCAATGGCAGGCAGATCTGCCACACGGCCTGGCCAATTTTTCGAAGGGAGAGTGAGCACGAACCTTTGGGAGAACGAACGGAAGGACGGGTGTGAGGAGTTCTCGCTTGCCTCCTCTCCAAAAAAGAAGGCAGAGCCGCCGATGAAGCGTGTTGGACGGAATAACACAAGTGCATCGCTACGAACGGGGCGCTCCTGGCATACTAGTAACAAGGGCATGACTACTAGCTATAGAAGCCACTTAGTAGCTATTTGCTACTAATAGTAATGCCCTTGTTACTAGTAGCGATGCACTTGTTCCTAGTAGCGAACCTTGTTACTACTAGTAAGGCACTTGTTACTAGTAACTATTTGCTCCTTGTTACTAGTAGCTTCTTTGTTACTACTAGTAAGGCACCTGTTACTACTAGCGTGGCACTTGTTACTAGTAGCTTCCTTGTTACGCTAGAAGCCATGGTCATTCCGAACCTTCGGATTTGGCTGTGGGTCTGGACCGACTTGACGACGTTTCGCCTCTCAAGGAGCCCAGGGCGCCGAAAAAGACGCAGTAGAGGAAGTACCTGGGCAACTCCGAGTTCTCTTAGGTTGGAGCTTAGGTCGGAGGCCATCGCTCTTAGCAATGGCCTTACTGGTTGGCCATGACTTGTTCACCCTTTTTCATCCCCACCTTTTGAAACGTTCTCTCTGGGCGCACACAAAGACACTTCCACGCAGCAAGTTGGAGATCGGTCCGGGCCTCAGCCGCTCCAGCTGCGACCCGGGTCACAGATCGAAGAAAGGAAACCCGTTCGGGTCGAAGGAACCGGTTCTCCTAGGAACAGGTGCCTTACTAGTAGTAACAAGTGCCACGCTAGTAGTAACAAGTGCCTTACTAGTAGTAACAAGAAGCTATTAGAAATTAAGTTTAATTAGAATTTACTTAGAATTAACGAAATTAGAAGGAACCGATTCTCTCTCTCTCTATATCTACCTGAGATATGGCCTTAATATGTCTAGTTGTATTACTGTTGATGGAATCACATTTGCAATGCAAGTCTTGCAAGGGCTTCCATTCAGCCCATCGGATGATCTACTTGGCTTCCCAGCGCCCCGAAAAACTGCAGAATGAAGTTGGCAGGGAACCTGGCATTTTGGACGCTACTAGGAGCAAAGTGCCACGCTACTAGGAACAAGGGCATCGCTCCTAGTAGCTTCATTTTTTTGGCTCTCAAGAATCCACAAAGGGGAAGTGCAGGCAAAAGTTGTGTCAAGTTTCGTCACTCAAGAACAAAAGTGTCTTCGTTCCAAAAATGAACGAAGAATACGATAGAAAGCACACTGACCATGAAACCTCTCAACGCCTGTTTCGGCTTCAAAGTGAAATTCAATCTTATCCATGCTTCAAAAATTTCACAATCCCCATATTTGTCAAAAGGTCTTGGACTGAACTCTCCACCCGCTAAGAGCATCAACAGCTTCACTGTTCCAAAGCATGCAGGTGTGACTGCACCATCATCAAGGTGGAAGCCTGTCTGCCTGAAAAAGGCTGGATGCTGGTCTTTGCAAAAAATATCACTGCCTATGTCGAATTGTGTCCATATTTAATGTGTTCTTAGATTTACCTGTCTACCTTGAAAAGGCTAGATGCATACCTTGAAAAGGCTAGATGCAGTCCATTGCTGGTCTTTGCATCGCTTCGGAAAACCGATGCTCTTCCGAGCTTGCAAATCCGCTGGGGAACCCAGGCTGATGGTGCGGGTGAAGGGATGCAAAGACCTCATTCGATGCCAAAGTCCAATGGATTTCAGAAGAAGTTAAATCGATTCAATAGATCATGATAGCTGCAATAGCATGCAGTAGCGTTCTGTTCGCAAGACGTAAAAGATGTGTTGTTGTTTCATGTTTGTTTCCGTTGATGTCTCTGTTTTCGTTGAGAATTGTCCGTGTTCCTGAATTCTTTCTCCCTTTCTAGTAGAATTCGGGGTAACGAAGAAAGCCTTAGGCTGCTGAAAGTAGCAGGTCAACGTGGTTAACTCCAAGACCTAAACTCTGAGTCGAGTCAAAATTGAACACCTCAAAGGTGTAAGTGGGAGACTTGCCTCTTCCATTCTTCCTGGGATAGGCCCATCTCTGCTATGCACCATTCAATCTGGAACACTCCAAACATGGCCCAGTTGAGATTCTCGCTTGTTTCTGGCCTCAGACGCTCGAAAGATAGTGTCAAACAACTTCAATTATTGAAGAGAAGATAAGAGAAGTCTGCTCCTAGCAGCGATGCCCTTTGCTCCTAGTAGCTTCTTGCTCCTAGTAGTACGACCAGGAGCCCCTAGTAGCGTCCTTGCTCCTAGTAGATAAGAGAAGTCTGCTCAACACATCCAAGCGATTCCAAAAGCGGTGGAGGCCGCTATTAGGTTGGAGGCTGGAAGGCCATCGCTAATAGGGTGGAGGCCATCTCATGCTGAATATCTATAGCATTCTATAGCAGAGTTGCCTTCCAATGGAAACTGTGGAAGAACTTTCTCTGTGTCCAGTCCGGATGTTTGGAACAGAACGCTGATGGATGGCTTTTGGACGGAGCGATCAGAATTTCGGCATTCGTCTTTCGCTTAGGGGCTCCGGGCCAAGGCATAGAGTGCCACAATGGATAACAAGTTTGCAAACTTTGATGAGTGGAAGGCCTTGTTGGCGAACGAAAGTCAGGTGTGAAGACGGGTCTATTTTGTTTCCGGCGTCAGAAATCCTCTCTGGAAGTCCCTTAAATCCACGTGTTGGTACGGTCAGGTAGGTCAAATCATCCACAAAGGGAGCATGGAGCGGGTCAGAAGACACTTGTGACAGGCTCTTTCTTCAGAAAGTTAATATTATTCCGATGTGAATCTCTCAGCAAGATGTTCGTTAAGCCTCATCCCCTTTTCAATTCTTGCTTCCACGTGGCCAAGACTAAGGGGAGCAGAGGCTTCAGCAACATCTCCCGCAAGAAGGAGGAGCTGGCAAAGAGCTGCATGCCATAGGGTATGGACAAGACCTCAGGGCGCCGCACAAATAACAAGAACGCTTCAACCGTCGGTTTTGAGCACCTGCTGTGGCGCCAAAACGTCAACTTCTGAATTCGAAAAGAGTTTGGAAAACTAAGGGACAAAGACCGTAAAAATGGGACCTGCCTGGTTTTTCCACTGGCAATCTGGGCCTCAAACCAGAGGCCCCAGGAAGCAAAGAACTCCGAAAAGTCGCGCAGCCACCTGGCTGCGACTCGGTCTGCCACTTCTGAAACGAAGTCCAATGGAACGTTCGACTCGGATCCATTCAGCTAAAATTGGAAGGTTCAATTAAAATATCGATGCTTGAAAGCTGTTTAATTTGGCACAAAAAAAAGAACCGTTGAAAAAACGAACAACGAGAGAGTCTCCTTCGACTCGACTGAAGACTGAGCTTAGCGACCGGGGCCGAGGAGGAACTCCAGCTGCTCGGCGCACGTCTCTCCACGTATCGCACGGGCGGCCGTGAGGGCCGCGGCCCGGGCCGCGCCGCGGGCCGTGGCTGGCGATCGGCCTGACCGTGCGAAAGGCTGGTAGCAGGTACCAGGAACCCGGTCTGGGTTTCACAGCTGGAGAGCAGGAGACAAAAGAGCCAACTCTTGGGCAGTCAGTTAAAGGCAGTATGTGTTCTGTAAAGAAAGGTTTCTTAAATTTTCTTAAGCTCTTTAAGAGGCATCTTGTTTCATGACGGTCTAAGACATTCCACATACACGCGATGGGTTTTCCGTTCAAAGCGTGGATGGAGATCAGTCGTTAGGGAACCGAGTCCGCCATTTCTTCGTACGAGAGACAAACATTCATTGGTTTGAAGGATTTCTTCGAAACGGTTTCGAAGTCCATTTCACTTACCAACTGACCGAAGTCAGTTTGATGATGGTTTAGAGCCCAACCTCTGCCCACCGCAAACCTGCCAGCTACTTGGCACCCGACAGCCCGTGTCTTGCCACTTTTCAGTTTGCTCACCTGCAAGCGACAAAAAGGTACTTCTATATGGAGAATTTTTGAAGGTGGGACTCACAAACTGTTTGAAATGAAAGAAACAAACCAATCCAAGGCTTTAAGGACGATCAAGGTGGTTGAAATCCGAGCAAAGAAATGACGACAAAAACCTTGGTGAAGTCTTGGGGGGGTTGGACTCAATTGTCTCTTGCTGCTATTAAGAGTTCAACTTGGCGAATTTGCTCAAAATTCGTTGGTTTTCGCTTCGCATGTCTTGAACTCAACTGCTTTCTCCTCCTTTTCATTTGAGTAGAAACAATAAGCTACTAGGAACAAGTGCATCGCTACTAGTAACAAGTGCCTTACTAGTAGTAACAAGGTTCGCTACTAGGAACAAGAAGCTACTAGTAACTAGGGAGTATGGCAGCGATCGGCCGAGCCGTGAGCCTCCCCTCTGGGCCTCGAGCCGCTAGTAGAAACAAATGCTTTTTAACATGCCGTCGCGGGCCGTCACGGCGCTGCCTCACGGCTCAAGCTGTCGTAAAGGAGTCGGTCACTGGCCGACCTGAAACGCCAAAAAGACGCCGAAACGGATCGCTGAAACGCTACGAACGGGGCTCCTAGCCGTACTAGAAACAAGAGGACGCTACGAACGGAGCAAAGGGCATCGCTACTAGGAGCAAGGACGCTACTAGTAGCTCTTGGCATTTCTACTAGTAACAAGAGGACGCTACGAACGGAGCAAGGATGCTACGAGTATTAGGAACCAAATCAAGTTGCGTGTCGCGCGCAGTTGGTCTGGGATGCCCCAACGCCCTCAATGGTCCACCACGTACGGCGAAAGGCCGCGGAGCCAAAGCTCGGGAGGGACCTGGAAAACTCTCGGCGCCCCACTGACGAAGGACACGTGAATTCCGAAAGGGCTGTATGGTAGCGATAGCCATCGCTTCTAGGTTGGAGGCCATTGGTTCTGTTTGCTTTTAGTACAGATGCCATTGGTTCACGTATGTGTTCACCTACAGTAGAGGTGCCCTATTTTCACAACAAAGTGGTGAGAAATGGATGATGTCATCATTTGTCAACCTATGCAAACCTGGTTTACAATTTCACTATGCTTTGCTATGATCAATTGGTGATTTAACCACCTCGTGTTCACAGATTTGATGATTCTCACCAAGTGTCAAAAGTACATTTAGGTGACAAGGGATGATTTCACGTAGGTTTCACCGATCTTGCGGTTTTCAGGAATTCCAAACTATAAGTTGCGAAAGTGAGGTGAAATGATGAATCATCTTACCAAACAAGCAATGCTTCAAATGGAACAGCACAATTTTATCCGGACCTTCATCAAAAGAATACTTAGTCTAATTAGAATGTGGTGAGAATTTGGTGAAATTGTTTGGGTTTCACCTATTAATATGTTCACAAAAGAATGTGGCTCTACGCTTGTCACACAAATTGAAATCGTCAAACCGGTGAAAATCTACCATCTTTACAGGTGTCATGGTTCTTGACTATCTTGAAAAAAGAGTGGAAAACAGGCCAAGAAGTTGGCAAATAGATGATTTGCATTTACTTCTTCTCACCAATTGACGTCCGTTGATTCTTCAAATATACACGTATGATTTCACGTTTGTATGTTCACCTCTTGTTTAACTATCAATTTCTAAAAATATGTTCTGCGCGTTTTGCAGAATGTTCACCTGCCTGCCACCTACTTTTTGATGTTTGCCTTTTTGCTGAATGGGACAAACCCACAACTTTGACAGGTACATGTTGATATCAACATGTTGTGCAACAATCCTCATGCATGTTTTCATACAGTGCATGTACACGGCTGTTTTTTTTTCAAATTTCAATTTTCATACGTACTAGTAAACTAGACACATGTGTCTTGATATGAGTCTGTTCTTCTCACGCACTGAGCAAAGATGTGCCTACCGAGGAATATCTACAGTAAGTTGGATCACTTCTCGAGATGCCTGTCTTTTCAATGAAAACGGCTTCCGAGGCAGCTGAAACTCCCGACTGATGGAAGTGTTGAAACCATGTTGGGCAAGGACCTCAGTCACTGCTCGACAGTGTTCAGCGACTGAGGCCCTTTTCGTCGAACTTTGTCAGACCACGCGCCTGGTAGACTGCCCAGCCTGGAAAGTCTGGCATGCTTGAGACTATCACTAGCAGCATCCTTGTTACTAGTAGCGATGGCCTCCACCTAGTAGCGTCCTTGTTACTTCCCACATTGAAAAGAATGTCTCAAAGAGGTATCAAGGCTCTGAGGGGTTGTAGAGGTTGGTGGGATACACCAAGAAATAGGTTGACAACAATCTGGGCTTCCCGCGATGTGAAGGCAGCACTTAATGCCATTGCATCAGCTGCCTTTCAGTTTATTTGGGTGTTGGTGTTTCAGTGAGCCGCCTGGATGCAAGGCTGGACTCTTGTCATCTCTTAATCATCTAGTTGAAGGCCATCGCTCTTTTGGGTTGGAGGCCATCCCTAGTAGGTTGGATTTGCACTCATGCAAATCTCTTCTCATCTCTTGTCTCAGCAGTGCGACGAAGTCATGGTGGCTGACTCCAGATTCTGAGCACTGTCCGACATGCGACATGTCCTTTGTTTCGCTCGTTTTGCCATTTCAACCTGTCTTCTTTGTTATGTCTTTGAGCCGATTCTTAAAAGCTGGGGCGGTTTGCGTTGGGCGATGTGTCCCACACGTCTGCTACAAATCGTCCTATGCTGCCAGCTTCCGCACACGTCCGTAAGCTGTCACCCATGGGTCGCTCCTCTGCCTTCAGTTCGCTTTGGAGGACCTGCAGTAGCTGGTTGGGAAGCTTGTTGCTTCCTGCTGCCTCCGCTTTGGCCTGTGCCACCTCCTCTTTCAAGCTCGTTGCTTTGAAACGCAAGGCGCATGTGGATTCCTCAGCTTCTTTGAGTTGAGAAGTCTTCATCTCGAAGTCTTTAGCATATCCTGCAGGGGATCCGAGCCGATAAATGCCCGATCTTTCCACCAAAGAACTCCAAACTCTGTGAAACACATGAAGAAGCTTCCAAACTCATGAAGGTCTCTCCCCACCCATCCTTTGGCTTCTGCTACAGCAGCATTGGCACGCAGCCGAGCTTTCTGAAGCTTGGCCAAAGCTTTGAAGATCTTCAAGTTTCGGCTCTTCAGGATTTGCTTTTCCGCCTGAACTCGCACATCTTCGGCCTGTTCAGCCACCTCCTCACGGAGGGCCTCCACCTCCTCTTCCAAGCCAACGCTGGGAAGATTCCGTACCAGCCGCGACTCGTGCACCTGCAATCTGCCAAGTCAAGCATGTCCAAAGTCAAATCTATCCTCTGTCTTGTTTGAGAACTTAGACACAACCTGAGAATCAAGCCATGATTAGAACAGTTTTCATGAGCGAATCAAATCACATGCACATGGCACCTCCAAGACTGCCTCAATCGCTTGCTCCTCCTCCAACAAGTCTCCCACACGTTCCCGATTCGCGCTCCACAGTTTGGCACTTTCCACGTTGCTTCGGAGCGCCTCAAAGAAAAAGGTAAAGGAAACGCTCGAAAAAGAAGAGAACTAAACATATTGATAAATATATATGATACATAGATTGGAAGAAAAGGTGCGCAGAAATAGATACTGTAGCATTCTTTAAACCAAAACCATATCAAAACATCGACTGTTTAACCAAAAAAAGGACTCACCTTTTTCGTGGCGCCTCATGCAGCGTCTGCCGAACAGCTGTGGATTCCCGTCGGGTCGTGGCCAAGCGCCGCCGAAGTCGAAGCAATTCCAGTTCCGCCTCAAAAGCACGAGACGTTGATGTTTAATATGTTCTTTTAAACCATGAAACAAATACTATATTATATACCATTATACAGATTATATATACATATATATATATATTTGTATTTTGATAGACTCCATATATTTTCTAAAGGTGAACTTAAGTAGTAAGGGGGATGTGGTAGGATGCGAGTAGGTAGCTTAACTAAGTAGCCAGTCTCAAGTAGACTCCTTGTCGTAGCTGAACTTAGTGGCACACAGGAGCTGAACTTAGTGGCGCCAGGACACACTTTCTGCTCTACAAGGAAGCTCCCGAGTCACAAGTAACCAGTGTTGGCTGTTGCAAACTAACACACTTTGCCGTGCCTCCTCTGGCGCTGTGGCCGCCTCCATGACACCCAGTTCATCCCAAGCTGCGGGAAAGATCTCTGCTCTTAAGCGTTCAATGGCTTCCGCACGTGGGCCAGGACCTGAAAACTTCTGAGGAAGTTCTCTTCGAGGGCGACGCAGGTGGAGCTGCGAGTAACTTCGCGTCTCCTTCGCGTCGCCTGGACAAGAGAGATGGCATGTCCGATGGCCTCCAACCCGATCCGAGCGATGATATGGTCCGGATCACAAGAATGGTGTTCCTTGGGTCTTCCCAGGATCCGTTTCTTGATCTCCGAGAGCAGGCGAAACTCCTAGTAACAAGTGCCTTACTAGTAGTAACAAGAAGCTATTAGAAACAAGTGTGGTTATATAATATTTGGTATATATATATATATGTTTGGTATTGCACTGAAGTAGATTCTTACTAGTAGTAACCGGTGGCGTGTGGGATCGGATGGAGCATGGCACATCCCACCTCCAGCTCTGCGCGGAGTGGAGCAAGCAGAGCCTCTGGAAACATGATCCAGATCCAGTCGTGTCGAAAACCAAACAGTTTGCAACATCTTGAAGCTCAAGCAAACACATCCTCCAGCCTTCCGTGCCTCCACGCGATGGTGGTCGCACAGCTGCCCGAAGCGCACCAAAGGGGCTCCTGTGGTGGGTCAAGTTTGGAAGCCTTCGAGCCTGTCTCAGCGGAGCAACCTGGTTGGCCAAAAGTACGCGGAACGAAAGAGGAGAACTCCTCACCCCTTCATGATGGGTCACTTAGCAGGGAAGTAGTAACCATCCCTCCTCATCTCGGCACACTGAAAGACTTGAAACCAGAACAGACTGTTCGGATGTGTTGGTTTTCTTGGGTGTTTTTTGCACCTTTCTCATCTGTCTCCCCAGCACCTGACGAGTTTCGATCGTATCCGATGCTCGGAGCTCCTGGGAATGCTTTGAAACCTCCCAGGACGATTGGCATTCAGCATGCTCAAGTGGTGTCAGCATGCGGGTCCGCTGCAAGGCTCAATGGTCGATGATTTGATCGGGGAAATCGACGTGGACTCTGGTTGCAAAACTCACAGGGCTGAGGGTTTTAGAAAGCGATTTGTGTAAGTGTAACGATGTTGTTTGAGCATGCTTTCGCTTCAGTATCTTCTGGTGATTGGTGTGTCATTCAATAATCTTCAAGGCGCCGATAGGCTTGAGCTGGAACACCTGGTGCACATCACATGCCACCTTGAAAGAGCAAAGTAATGGAGTCGCTCCACTTGAAGCTCGCCCAGCCAAATCTGATAACCCTTGTGAGGATTCCGCATCCTTTGAGCTACTGGGAGCCCTGCAAATCTGGTCATCTTTCTTTGTGGGAAGCAAGCCCTTCAAAACCCAACAGCAATGGCCTCCCTAGTAGCGATGGCCTTCTCCCTTCAAACCATGAGGAGGAGACATCTTGAGTAATAATGGATCGTCAAAGATGCGCTTAGTAATTTTCCAATCGAGATTGCTCACTCCAGGACAGCTTTGAAACTCAGCGAACGCTTTGTGATTGCGACTATGTACAGGGGAGGTCATGAAAAACTAACTCGCCAAAACAAACGGATCTCCGTGGAAGGAAAGATAAGGGCTTTCTTTGAGAGGATCCATTGGCATCACCTCCTTGAAGCTTGCTCACAGCTTGCTCACAGCTGGCTACATCAACTGATCGCTTGGCTTGATCCAAGAATTCGATGCTTTGATAAGCTTTGTTCAATGTGTTGATGGCCAGCTCCAGGAAACACCAAAAACCCCATTGCCGGTGATTGGATCCTGCCCGTTGCCAGCCCCTGGTCTCGACTACGAAAAATGTATGGATTCTCAGAAAAACAACCAGCTATCACGCGACAAAATTGAACGTGTGAATATGCATAGAGTTGCGCAAGAGAAAAGGTTTTGAGATATGGTAAATTGGAATTTAGAAAGCATGGCAGCATGGTCTCTCATCTCTTCCATGGTGTCTCTCTCTCTCTCTCTCTCGCTGGCTCGATCTCTAAGAGGTGGGAGCTCTAGCATGGGCTTCAGAAATCCAAACTGCACGAAGGCAACCCAAGGTCTTTGAGGATTTCCACCGACTACTCCGGGAACTGCTGACTGGTGCAGCCGTCTTTGAATTTCACAAGTTCAAAGTTCGACCCGGTCCAAATGCGCGATCCCGCTGGAAAATGAAAAAGGCATCTCTGTCGATATTCATTCTCAACATGGTAACAATATAGTAGGTTGGAGGCCATCGCTTCCCCTTATGCATCCTCCAAGTTCCACTTCGCCTCATGCAGCTTCAGTTTGGGGTGGCAGTCATTGCTGCGAATCACCTGTGGCACAAATCGCCACACAGTTGACACACTAATTGAAACTTGAGTTCTTGAAAACCGTGACCCCTTTAAACTCAAAACCACACAGCAACAGCCCGCAGTGTTCAGAGGCTTTTTCGTGTTTGAGGATTACGAAAGCGGTCGAGTTCTGAGTGTCCACGAGCAGCGATTGCGAACCTCAGCTGCCCACCTTGAACCTCAGCTGGCACCAGCTATCACCTCCGCAGCGGAGTCTTTCTGTTTGTGTCAACCACTTGAAAGTGTTCCTTCTGTTTGCATAGCAGCCAGGCATCGGATCGGCATCGGAGTCAAATCTACCGGAACAGCCCGACATCAATGCTCTTGCATGCTTTTGCCGGTTGGAGGCCATCGCTATAGTATAGTAGGGTGGAGGCCATCGCTAGTAGGGTAGAGGCCATCGGGAGTAGGGTGGAGGCCATCGCTAGCAGGGTGGAGGCCATCGGGAGTAGGTTGGAGGCCATCGCTTCCTTTTGCGATCTTTTGCATGCTTTGCCATAACTTTGAGCCTCTCCAGCCCATCATCATCACTGTCCTCACAGGCTGCTCAGCGTTCAGCGTTGAATGATTTGAACAGCTTTGAATGCATTGAGTTGGATGGCTTGCATTGGCAGTTCTTGTACCTTCTGAAAAACCTTCCCAATTTTCACCCTGCTGTTTCAAAGTCAACGGGCTCCGCGGCTCCTCTGTGAGCAAAGTGGCTCTGGCACTGCGACCGCTTCGGGCACTCTGACTGCCTGAGCAAGAGATGACACGCTGTCTGTTGCAGGCCATCGCTAGTAGGTTGGAGGCCATCGCTCTTAGGTTGGAGTGAGGGACAAAACTTCTTCGCGTCCCCAATGCCAAAAGTATGTTGGGCTGGCCTCGTTGGTCCTTATCGGTTTCCAGTGTTTTGGAATGCAGGCAATAAGCTACTTGCAAGCAAGGAAGGGTCTCGGTATGGGGGTGGCCCCTATCGGTTTTGCAAGGTTGTGATCAATTCAGATATATACTTAAAGGCGGCTCATGACTGTAAAGTACATGTATGGAAGTTTTGTCGGATGCTCTTATGCTGCTCCGCAGGCGCAGGTTTATGTCTGGGATCAAAACAATTACCACTCTCATGGATTGAGACTCACGCAAATCATTGACGCTCAAGTCAATATGCTTCGGAACCATGTCAAAACTGTGTGTGTGTGTTTCAATTGTATTGTATTTGTCTTCCTTTCTAATGTCATCGTCAGACCTCTTCCTTTCTTCCCATCGTCTCTGCCTTGCTTGTCTGAACTACCAAAATTGCGTTGGAGAAAATGGTCCAAAAATTAATACCAAGATCATATGTGTGCGTTTCTTTGAATAAATCATAAAAGTCATAAAGTCTCCACCAAAATAATGCAATCCATGTCCTTTTTTTCCGTCTCGTCTCAGCTTGGCTTTCCCGACCGACCCCCGGGCTTTCCGCCCTCAAGGTCTCGCGGGGCGAGCGAGGCGGCAGGCGAGGCGGCCTGAAGAAAATGACTGCTGAAAGATCTAAAGAGAGCCGGATAGTAGCGTCCTTGCTCCTAGTAGCGATGCCAGGAGCCCCTAATAGCGTCCTTGCTAGTAGTAATGCCAGGAGCCCCTAGTAGCTTCTTGCTCCTGGTGACAACCAAAATACAATATACAGATGTAGTAATCATATGTACACATAACAAATACACATCAACCTAGCAGTGATGGCCTTCAATCTACTAGAAATGGCCTAGAAGCAATGGCCTACAACCTACTAGCGATGGCCTCCAACCTACTAGCAATCGCCTCCAACCTAAGAGCGATTGCCTCCACCCCAGTAGCGATAGCTCTTAGGTTGGAGAATGACTGCGGACAGAAAGCAAACAACGCAGACAGGCTTTAAGAAAAAGGGTCTTGGAAGCATACTCCCATTTACCCGCCATCAGCATTCAAAGCACGCACATATTGATATTTACTCAGGCACCCCCACGCGCGATGCATGATGGCAGGTGGCCTCCCAGTCTTGCTGATTTTTCTGCACTTGAAGAATCCTTCTCTCCTTCACCTTGGTTCCTAGTCTCTCCAGAGGAGGCGGTGAAGCACATCACAAGTATCTGTCTCATCGCCTGTCGCGGATTGGAGGACTCACCAAGGCCGCCTGAGGCACAAAAGCGCAAACACAAACTGACCAAGGAACAAGTGCATCGCTTCTAGTAACAAGTGCCTTACTAGTAGTAACAAGAAGCTAGTAGGAACAAGTGCATCGCTACTAGTAACAAATGCCTTACTAGTAGTAACAAGAAGCTAGTAGGAACAAGTGCATCGCTACTAGTAACAAGTGCCTTACTAGTAGTAACAGCTAGTAGAAACCAGAAGCAAAGGACGGCCTTCTGGCACGTTGTCCGAAGAACAGAGGTGCGCTAGCCCGAAACCCTCGTTTGGTCAGGGAACCGGGTGGAGTCTTGGGAGCATCTTAAAGCAAACAAGGAGCCCCGTTTGTAGCGTCCTTGCTCCTAGTAGTACGTAGCGAACATTGTTGCTAATAGCAAACATTGTTACTACTAGTAAGGCACTTGTTCCTAGTAGCTTCTTGCTCCTAGTAGTAAGGCACCTGTTACTACTAGTAAGGCACTTGTTCCTAGTAGCTTCTTGCTCCTAGTAGTAAGGCACCTGTCACTACTAGTAAGGCACTTGTTCCTAGTAGCGTCCTTGTTACTACTAGTAAGGCACCTGTTTCTACTAGTAAGGCACTTGTTCCTAGTAGCGATACACTTGTTACAGCTTCCAAAGATGTTTCTCCTCCGTCGAATCGATGCTCCGGACGTCCAAGACGTTTGACGCACCTCTGTCTCTGGAGCCTCCCTGCGAGCGAGCAAGGTCCGCATGTTCGGCAAGCATGTTGGGGACATGCGATCAACAAAAAGAGGAAAAGAAACAAAAGACTTGGCAAACAACTTGTTCCATTCCAGACCTGCAAAAAAGATGCAAAACGCACAGGTTAGGAGTGGTCAGTGCTTGGAAGTCAGACCGATCTCAGATGTGCAGTCTGAGATCTTCACCGAAACTCTTCCTTGCAACCCCAAACCTCACAGAGCCCGGTGGAGTGGAGACAAAAGAAACTACCAGCAAGTACCCTACTATGGGCTCCTGGCATCGCTACTAGGAGCAAGGACGCTACTAGTGGCTCCTGGACTGACTACTAGTAACAAGAGCAAGAGGACGCTACGAACGGAGCAAAGGGCATCACTACGAACGGAGCGTTCGGACGCTACTACTAGCAATGGCCTCCAACCTACTTGCGATATGGAAGGACCGCTCAAATTGAGTCGTGCTATGTCGTGAGTGATGACCACTCTGGGCTCACGACACGCAAGGTGCCATCATCTGAGGCTGAAATGAGCCAGGCATTGTCCTACAACAAAGGCATGAAACAATTGGTTCAGGAAATGCCTTGGAAAAACAACGGATTGATTCTGGTTCGGAAATCTGAGTCAACGGATTGATTCAGTCAGGTGGGATTGCCTTGGAAAGGAATGAAAAGAGTTGAGTTAAACTGCGAGGGTTGACAAAGCTTCAAAGTTGCGTGTTCCTGAGCCACATTTGATATACTTTGCGTCTTTGAGACGCTAGCTGCTCATGATGCAAACTAGGCCTATTTTGGTGGAAAGCATAGTTTGCATACCAAAATATAGTCCATATCCATTATCATGTTCATTGT